GTTAGAATGCATAATTTAGAAAGAAAAATAAATTAGAGAGTATAAGAATATTCTATTTTTATTTTTAAATTAAGTTAATGGAGTTATCATCTTATAAAATAAGAAAAAATTTAAAATATTACAAAAAATATACTATATTATTTAATTAAATTATTATGTAATCGGATTTTATTTTGTAATCGGGCGGTTTGGGCAATTTAAAAGTAAAATTACAAACCAAAACAATTATATCAATTTTAAAATTTTATAATTCAAACCAATCTAATTTTATATCGATTTGGTTTAGTTTTTTATTGGATTGGATCAATTTAGGTCAGATTAATCGAATTAGATCGGATGTGAACACCCCTAATAAAAATTATTGTTTTTAGATTATTTAGAGAGAAAATTTAGTTTTTAGACTAAAATGATAATATGTCAATAGTTATTAGACTACTTATTAAATTTAGCCAATTAAAAAGTAAAAGGTTAGTATTATTTTTCCGTTGCGTGTGGAGGGTTTGTCCGGCTGTCAGGCAAGCTTACCAGTTTGTATCCGACTCTCTCCATACACCGATGACCAGGGAAACTCAGCATTTCTCCACAATACTACACATCCAAAACCCAATGCCTGATTCTCTCCTCCGTCTCCGACGCATAAAACGGTGAATTTCAGCAAACCCTCGCATTCTCTATTGGAGCAATTTTGAAACTGAATTTTGCAGCGGAATGGCGACGCCGAGACCGTTACCCACCGACTCGTTGGATTGTATGCTTCCTGGTCCTCCTAGCCGGAACAACTTCGGATCCGCTGACTTGAGCCCCTCCGGTCTCCTCGCATTCCCCTCCGGCTCCTCAGTATCGGTTATTGACTCCCGCTCTCTCCAGCTAATTGCAACGATCCCCCTTCCTCTGCCTCCTTCTTCCTCCAATTCCTCCTCCTCCTCCTCACTCGCTCCGTTTGTTACCTCCGTTCGATGGACCCCTCTTCCCCTCAGCCGAGACCTTCTCTCCACTGAGCCTTCAACCTCTCACCTCATCCTTGCTGCGGCCGACCGACACGGCCGAATCTCCCTACTCGATTTCCGTCTGCGCTCTCTTCTCCTCTCAATTGACCAGCCCGATCCAGGTGCTAAATCTGGTATCCAGGACCTTTGCTGGGTTAAGGCCCGCCCAGACACTTTCCTCCTCGCCTCTCTCTCTGGACCATCTACCCTATCCATTTACAACTCCACCTCCTCTCGATGCATCTTCAAATATGACGCTACACCGGAGTTTCTCTCCTGTATCCGCCGGGATCCCTTTGACTTCCGCCATCTTTGTGTCCTCGGCCTCAAGGGATTCCTCCTTTCCATCAAGGTCATGGGAGAAAGAGAGGATGATATTGTGATCAAGCACCATCAGATTAGGGTCGACTGCAATGAGTTTCTAAAGCTAGAGAGAGACGCTGCTGCAGGAGGTACTTCCTCTTCCCCTGCTTCCGCTGTTTTCCCGCTCTACAATGTGCGTTTCGCTTTCTCTCCTCTCTGGAGGCACATCATTTACGTTACTTTCCCAAGGGAGCTGGTGGTTTTCGATTTGCAGTATGAGACAACTCTTTTCACTACTCCTTTGCCGCGCGGCTGCACCAAATTTCTTGATGTGTTGCCTGATCCGAATCAGGATTTGCTATACTGTGCTCACCTTGACGGAAGGCTCAGCATATGGCGGCGAAAAGAGTAAGCAATTTATGGAACTAAATTAAGGTTCTTAGTTCCCGTACTATTGGTCATGGTTAATTTGCAATGTTACACTACAACCAGTTGCTTAAATCAAGGGAGATGGAAGATGACTTTGGTGGGAAGGAAATTATTAGGTTGCTGGAGTTAAATATGCTTAAACATTATGCCAGAATATGCTCCATTTTTCTGTTTATGAATGAGAGAAAATGTATAGTAAAATCCGGTAGAACTACAATCATCATAGGAATGGATTGGAATTGTTGGCTTCTTTTCTGATGATGTTTGTAATATGACTCCTGTAAGTAGCTGGCAGCTTTGGATTAAGATCTCATATCTTGGCACCTATCTTCAGTAGATATTTTGTGTTCTGAATTGAGTTGCAATGATGGTTAAAACACAATTTTCCTGGGCTGAACGGAATATTCTCATGTTATGACAGAGGAGAACAGGCACATGTCATGTGTACAATAGAAGAGTTGATGCCAGCAATTGGAACATCTGTCCCCACCCCTTCAGTTCTCTCTGTCCTCATATGCCAGTCAGAGTCCACCGTCCAAAGTGTTGGGAAGCTATGTTCTGATTCACCTAATTGCTCTACACCAGATATGGATTTTGATAATCCTTTTGATTTCTATGATGATGCACTTCCTCTTTATAAGACGTGTCTTATTTCCATTTCTGATGATGGCAAAGTTTGGAGCTGGATCTTGACTGCAGAAGGGGCTGGAGACACTCAGATGAATATTAAGAATTCGGATGTTGTCAATGATAGTGCTGAAAAGCCACTTCAAGGGACCAATACTAACCCTTTATCATCTTCTAACAAGGGGATTGTTGTAGAAGGCAGTAGGCAACTGGAGAATGTGACTGAGGGCCGAAGCCCCCCTTTGAACTCAACATTCAACCTGGCAGATCTGACATTTAAGGTTGGGTATATAATTCCACTTTCAATCTGTATAATTAGTGTGTTTTTTAGTTCACACTTCTCATTGAGAACAATAGTGTTATTTATGCCACTCCCTCTCTTCCCTAAATACATGCATCCCCACACATGGGCATAAAGGTGCATGATGCATAGTTTATTTGGCTCATTGCACTTGATCATGGATCCCTGTAACCATTTAAGCATAATCTGAGCTCCCAAACATGAAAGCAGAAAACAAACTAGCAAAGTAGAGTTACTATGGTAATTAGACAGTCTATATATTCTTAAAGATGGAGACTCAATTCAGTTGATGTTATGCAATTTTCTGCTTTCTCATGCTGATAACCCCTTTTTCTCCATTAGATGATGATATTTAGGATTTATGAATCACAGCGAAATTACTGGAAGATTAGGAAAGTTACAGACTATGCAAGAGAAGATTCTGAGCTTTGAAAAAATATTATAAAGCTAGCAATGCTATTCAAATCTTCCCTCTAGTGCTTTTGGGGAGCTTGTGTGCATACTGTGTGAAATTCCAGAGGTAGATCTATGACCCAGGCTAGGCTTAAGAGTTACTCATTTTTCTGACACTTTATGCATGCATATCTCCTTAAACCTAGTGAGTTCAATGTTCACTTTTGAAATGGGTGGAGCCAACAGGCTTGGTGTTAAAATATTTTTAAATAATATACTATCACACAGCAGATCTTGCCAGGGTTGGTTTTCATCCAGTCTGTCTATTGTTGGCAACACCAAGCCATTGTTAGGCTCATTTAGTATTGGATGAAACATATAATGAGAAGTTCAAAGGAGTGGGATGAAGTGCTATCTGACTAGCAGGATATTTTCTTACCAAATATTGACATATGCTGACCTGTGTTATTTTATTGAGATGTAAGTTTGCTAGGTACCTTAAGTTTCCCTTCTTCTTTGTCAGGAATGTATCAAAGTACTAGAATGTAAGCTTTTATAGATTTTCTTCTGAGTTTTCAACTTGATGGAAATGACTAAAATTTTTAAATCACACTGATAATTAATACCAATCATTTGTATATGTCATGCATGCTTATAAATCCTTTTGTCATGTCATTGGTACAGATCTGTTTGGTTGGACATCTTCAGCTTCTTTCTTCGATGTTGACCATGCTGGCTGTGCCATCTCCATCATTAACAGCTACACTGGCCCGTTAGTTCCATCTCCTCACCACTTTGCATATAAAGAATTTCTATCTCTGTTAGACTCTTTAAGATCATTGTTATTGTGAAAACCAGATGTGGACTCTATAAGTTGATTAATGAATGTTCTCATTTGAAGGTGGAGGAAATTATCCTGCAGTAGCTGTTCCACTGGTTGCCTTGGGTACTCAAAGTGGGACAATTGATGTAGTTGATGTCTCTGCCAATGCTGTTGCAGCAAGTTTTTCAGTTCATAATAGTACAGTTCGGGGTTTACGTTGGCTTGGAAACTCCAGACTGGTTTCATTTTCTTACACACAGGTAGCTTATCAGGTTTTTAGGAATTATAATTCTTAGGTACAGCATCATTAACCCTTCTTTTTATTCAGTATCATACTTTATGGTGACATTTTTGTAGTCCTTTTGTTGACCAGGTCAGTGAGAAAACTGGAGGTTACATTAACAAGCTTGTTGTGACTTGTCTTAGAAGTGGGCTTAATAGAACATTTCGGGTTTTACAAAAGCCAGAGCGTGCACCCATAAGAGCTCTAAGGGCTTCTTCTTCTGGAAGGTTGTCTTTTCAACTAAATATTCTTATATGATTGCTACGTGCATCAGCTTAACAGAGTCATATTTAATTGTACTTTTCTTTTGCTTAGAGCCAAAAATGTTCATTAAATATCTCTCCAAACTATACAAAAATAGACATGATAGACAAGAAGCTTGCTACTGATTGTACACAATAATGAAGTTTTACTAGAAATGCTGGAATATGATGCATTCACGTTTTAGGTGTTTGTTGGTTTGGTCTGTTATGCAATCCAGTTTGGGTTTGATTATCATGCAGTTTGTCCTCTGTCAGACATATTAGCTGTAATCATCAATAACGGTTATGAGGAAATTAAACTTCAATGGAGAACTTGAAATTGAAATTTCTTATCTCATATATATGTGATTAAAACTTTTGGACTGGATTCTGTTCTACACTATGAAGTTGAGGAAATCAGTAAAATATGAGAGAATAGATATATGAATGGTCATCAGGCTTGAAGAAGAAGAAGAAGAAGAAGAAGAAGAAGAAGAGAATAAAACCCTTAGAAATCCTGTGGTGTATAGAATATAGCCCCTAAGCTAAAGCTCTAATGACAGGCTACCCAACTAAGATGGTTTGACAGCTGGAGTAGGATGCTGCTAAAGATGATGTTGAAACAGCATGGATCTTATAGCAATAGAACAACCGTAGTTAGAGGAGGTGCACTGGGAAATTGCAAGAAGGATCAAACTGTAATTTTCTTTCTGTTCACGTGAAATATGTGGTAAATCTAATTGCCATTTGTATTTCAGATGATAGATTGCATTTGGAAGAATCTTGATAAAAAAATGAACAGAATTATACCAAAAAATCAAATGCTTAGAATTTTATGGGAGATGTTAAGAATATAAATGGATTCTAATGCAAGGTAAATCTAATAGATATTTTCAAATATCAAGACTGATAGATTTTTAGGTTTTTATCGAAGAGCTAATCTGTTCTTTCGTTTTAGTCCCCGCATGGCAGAGTTGGACTGCTGGCTGCTGTGCTAAAAATGTTCCTTATGTACTACTCATGTTATTACCTTGTAGTGAATATGTGGTGACATCTTATCTTTTTTGAATCCTTTTAGGTATCTTCTAATTTTGTTTCGTGATGCACCCGTGGAAGTTTGGGCAATGACAAAAAATCCCATTATGGTAAGTTGGTTGTGCTTTCTATTTTCTCAATTTGCGAGTGGTAGTTATATCTCCATGAACCTAGTGACTTTTGCTTACATTGTATAATTTGGTCTATATTTTCCATTTTGTTGCTGGCTAATGAGCATTTAAAATTTGGTTTATCTACTAGATGACTGGCTTAAATCTCACACCTGAATATTAAAGCATAGTGCAACCGTTAAAATATGTTGACCAACAATACTCATTTGATGTTTTGTCTCCTAAATTTGTCTTAATATTTCTTTAAGCTTCCTAAAACACCACTCGATTGTAAGAATTGAAGACAGAAGGATTTTCTCATTCTTATGGATTTGTAACTCTGAAGGACAAATGTATATTGCAGGAGGCATTAAATCAGTAATCCATTTTGTAAATAAGAAGAGTTTGCCTCTTCTTTTGTTTGGAACTTTTGACATTTTAACTTAAAAGTGCTTGTTGACCACTGATCTAAAACATTTTAACTTAAAAGTGCTTGTTGACCACTCATCTAAAACACCATATTTTAGGGTTGTTTGTTGTCCTTTTAGTTGCCTATCATCCATTTTCATTGTTCATGTTATATGCATGTTTGTTTTGGCTGTTCTGTTGGGCCAACACATAAGAGAGAGTGTTAAGCAGTGACAATATCTCACAGCAATTAAGTCTTTGGTTTGCTTTTACTGTTTATATTAACATTAGGCCTCTTCACATTTGACCAATTTGTTCTAGGTTAGATGCCTTAACATTTATATTCAGGGAGTCCAAAAAGAAGACGGAATATATTCTGCATATTTTGATGCTCTCCCTTGATGTAGATTACTTGATCTGAATTAGGCAAAAGAAATGAAACTGTTTGCTATCACGTGTGCAGATATGTGTCTCCTTCCTTCGTAAAAGCATCTTTTAAATATTTGCTTCTTTGGGGATCAGTTGACTAAATGAATAATGAAGTGTTTGGACAATGCATAAAAATTGCATGTTCCATTTAATTTTTCCCCATCTTGAGTCCATATGTTGTTATTGTTCTTCATTTTAGTATGTTTATTCATTTTTCTCTAACTTTTATAAGTGAATGTCAAATATGCACTTGTATTTTCTTAGTTAACTGTGTTTGATTACTAGATAATTATTATGCTTCATACTCTCATGTAGCTTAGATCTTTAGCTCTTCCATTTACGGTACTGGAATGGACTCTTCCAACAGTGCCACGGCCAACTCAGAATGGTCCATCCAGACAATCATCATTATTCTCTAAGGATCATACGGCTGCAGCACCAGGAGTAGCTTCCCCAAAAACATCTTCTGATTGTAGTGAGATTTTACATACTATGCTTATATTTGGTTGGATATCTAGTCTAATTGTTCTTGTTTTATATGAATATTCAAAACTGACCAAGGATAATAACTTAACTTTTATCTGCAGAACCAGTGAACCCAGATGCGTCGCAGGATGACTCTTCTGAGAGTTTTGCATTTGCACTAGTAAATGGCGCACTTGGAGTCTTTGAAGTCCATGGACGGAGGATCCGTGACTTCAGGTATGGTTCATCTTTGATGTTAAGGTTGTCTGCCATGAAAGCACATGGACCTTTATAATGGCATTGGTTGTCCATTTCTATTCTAGTTTATATTCTAGTCAATCATACTTGTGTTTTTGTCATTGCAATTGCAAATTTAAGTAAATGATGTTAACTGCAATTACCCACATTGGTTATGTAAGTGGTATTACCCTCATGATGATGCACAGTTAACTACTAACATGTGGACAATTACACGCACTCTTGTTGCCACTCTAAAAAGTCTTGGAACCTGTACACATTAGCTTTTATCTCTTTTATTGGGTTAAATGTTTAGAATGTTAGGATTTAGATTTTGTAGAGTTCAATATTTAAGGTGTTAGGGTTTAGGTTTTTTAGGATTTAGTTTTTAGGGTTTTAAGGTTTAAAACTTTTAGGCTTTAATGTTTACGGGGTGTTAGGGTTTAGATTTTTTAGGGTTTAAGGTTCCCTGTTTTGCAGTTTGGACTGTCCCGGACTGCAAAATCAGGGCCCTTGGATGGGAGAGGAGGACCTAATATCAGGATACCCTTCTCCAATCCAATGGTAACTATTTTACAGCTCAGTACAGTCTGGACTGCAAAACAGTTTTTCTTTAAATTAATACTAAAAAATTAATGGATCAAAATGATTTTATTTTCTGAGTACCTTTAATGAAGATGGCAGCAGATGGACGCTGGTGTCTGTCATTTGAAAAGGCACTGTTTCAATTTTTTCATGGATTGAGAATTCCTTACCCTTATTACTTATTGGTTTTTGCAGTTTAATTCTATAAACCATGAAACTTTTACTTTTCTCCTTATGTTTCTTTATCTCCAACAGATAATGAGTCATTGCTATTGTACCGTTTAGGATCATTTTTGCAGCGTTGCTGTTGTACTTCATAAATCATAGTAACATTACTTCCCTCTTTTTCCCACCTTTTCTGATGATGAACCTTCTTTTTTTGTTTCTCAGACCAAAATGGCCTTCTTCTTCTTTTGTCTCATCTGATGGATTAGTTACTGCCATGGCCTACCGCTTGCCCCATGTTGTATGTATTATTTTAGTCCCAATCAGCATTTGATTCTCTTAAGTTCTTCTGGTGAATGGGGTCATATCATGATTGCTCAGGTCATGGGGGACAGGTCAGGTAACATTAGGTGGTGGGATGTAACAACTGGACATTCTTCATCATTCAACACTCACAGAGAAGGAATCCGGAGAATCAAATTCTCACCTGTTGTTCCTGGAGACCGTAGTCGAGGGCGTATTGCTGTATTATTTTATGACAATACATTTTCTGTATTTGATCTTGTAAGTATGAAAAATAGAAGTGCTTAAGTTGTCTTCCTTTAATTATTCGGATCTTTATGGTATGTTTGATATGAGGAGAGGCGAGGGAAGGAGAGGGGATAGGTGAGTTTTTTAACCAATCAAATTATGATGGTTTTGAATATTGCAATATGATTGGTTAAAAAATCCATCCCTTTCCTCCCCTCTATCTGCCTCAAACCAAACATACTATTAGTGGAACACCATACAATTGTTAGCATATGATAAATGTTTTAAGGTTGCTGATTTGGTATACAAGCTTTTGAAAAATAGAAGTCTGCCCTCTTACTCAAAGAGCTAAGAGATCACATTTTAGAAAAAAAAAAAAATGAAGACAAATCTATTTCTTTGGTACTATTTATATTTAAAATTAAGCTAGAGGGTATAAATAAGACACTTTTTCTGGTTTTCTTAATAGATATGTATCAGGTTGAGCAAGTTCTACGTGCTCTGTAGATGTAAGACCTAAGAGTTTTCTCTTAAATGGTACTTTGCCTTCAGAGGAAACTTAGAAGATCATTATTTTATCCCAATGCTGAAACATTTTTTATCTGCAGGACTCTCCAGATCCTTTAGCCAACTCCCTTCTGCAACCTCAATTTCCAGGGACCCTTGTATTGGAGCTGGACTGGTTGCCTTTGCGAACTGATAAGAATGATCCACTAGTTTTGTGCCTTGCAGGAGCTGATAGCAGCTTCCGTCTTCTGGAGGTGAATGTGTATGTGCTACAATCTGTCTGAGTTGCTAAATTTTTTGCATGACAGAATGCCAGCAGATACACCTTTATCTTTTATGAGCATTAACATCGATAAGGTTTGGTTGGAAATGTAAATAGGGCTTTGTTCTTTAATTAGAATGAAAATTCAGGCAAAGGCTTAGAGTTGCTAACAAACAGACAGGGCTTATAGCATATCATTTTTTATGCTACTGTTAGTGGTTTTTTAGCATATAAGTTCAGTGGATTAGTTTTAAACTTGGCTTGGTTGTCATGTTGATAATCTTGTGTGTATGTATTCATGCAGTACTGATAAAAAGCTTGGACATGGTCCCCAGCCAAGGCCTATCAAAGAGAGATTCCGACCAGTGCCCTTATCTTGTCCCATACTACTTCCAACACCTCATGCACTGGTAACAATTATTCTTCTGCTTTTTATTTTCATGTATACCAAATATAAGCATTTCTTTACAAACCTATAATGAATATATTCTTAATTTTCATTGTCATCTAGCTCTATATTGCTATTTTTTGAGAAAAGGTGCATTTCAAAAAATGACAATATATTCTTAACAATTATTCTTCTGTTTTTCATTTTCATGGATACGAACTTAGCCATTTTTTCTATTTAAGGATATAAACTTTTCAAGTTTTTAAATCAGGTGGTAAACTTTCATTTTTTTTATAAATAAGGATACGAACTTTGTATTTTTTCTATTTAAGAATTTATTGGATGGCGATGATGACATGGCAAATGGCAATCTTAATTGAAATAGGGCAAAGTTTGTATGCTTAAATTAAAAAAAATAGTCTGAGTTCCTATCCTTAAATAGAAAAATGTACAAATTTACCACCCCAAAAAATTCATACCCTTAAATAGAAAAAATGGTTAAGTTCTACCTTGCTCGTTGTTTTTTCCCCTGTTTTGCTCGTGTGTGATTTTAGGACTTTTAGGATCTACATAGACTTGGTGTAAGATTAGAATTTCTCACACCTGATGTTATCTATTAATTTCATAAATGTAACTGTTGAGACTTTGACTGTATTGCTTAATATATTATCATCATCTTAGTTGTTGGATTTGTGAAATGAATGGCTAATAAATGGTGACATTTGAGTCTTGCTCTACGACCAGTGGATTGTACCTCATAAATAAATAAATATATATGTATATATATATAGAGTTAGGATCCACATACATAAAATTCTTACACACATCACTTACCCAAAATCCCCACCAATCATCTCTCCACTATGAATGGTTGAGAATGGTTGAGATTTATTTACTTTTTATCCTTTCTTTTTAAATGATAATTGTCTTTTTCATCTAAAAAGTCATGATAAATCTGCAATGTTTATAGTGGAGATATGAATGGTCAAGATTTTGTGTAAGTGATGTGCGTAAGAGTTGGTGTAAGAGTTGGTGTAAGTAAATCCTAAATCATATATGTGTTATATATGTGCTTGTGGATCTTGGGAAAAGTGTTTTGTAGGGAGTCCTCCCAAATAAAATTTGAGAGGATCTATCTAAAACTCATCTTTTGATTAATATTTTGGAAACCCAACCATTGGATTGAAAGCATACTTAACCACCTTGTTGATTATATAAAGAAAAAAAAAACCATAAGTTTTGTTTTAGTTTGAAAATTGACGTGCATAATCTAAATGAATAGAGTTTCTTTGATCACAGGGTTATAAGTTGTAGTCCTCAATCTCAAAACAACGTTGTTTGAATAAAAATTACATAGTCTTGGGATGACAGTTATTGAGACTACGAAGTTTTGGGATTAGGGACTGTAGATTTTTTTCAGTTGTGACTAAAGGCTACTGTTACAAGAAGAAGATTATGTAATAACTAAAAGAGTAGTAAACAGAAATACTAAAATATCCATTATCAAATTAGAAATGATAATGCATGGAGTTGCTTGGCCCCTTCCATCAAAAATTAAGTTGACGCTATTGGAAAGGAGTTTACTGTCCTTGTAATGCTTATGGTGAACCACCAATCCTTTTGTTGATTGTTTAAAGGTAACTTTCTCCATGGTAAATCTTTTCAAAGAAAAGTCAATGATCTTGCAATCTTAACCGAACAAATGACTCTCAATTTGGAATGAATTTTTGGTGAATGCTTGAGGACTAACAACTATTTGACTGTTTTATATTTCACTACAGGCACTGAGGCTGATATTGCAATTGGGTGTAAAGCCCTCTTGGTTTAATACTTGCGGTATGTCTATAGATAAGAGGCCCCATGTGATTCCAGGAACTACCAAATCCATGGGGGATCTTCGTAGTTACATGATTGAATTACCACCTGTTGTTGACTCTGTGGTGCCCGAATTGCTCCTTAAAGTATTAGAACCTTACCGTAAAGAAGGTAAGTTTCCATATTTTTTTAGTGTTATTCCTAATCATGGGCATCTTGCTTTGGACTATTTGATTAGTTCTATCTTTTCTTTTTGTTTCATAAATTGAAGGCTGCATACTTGACGATGAAAGGGCTAGACTATATTCTACAATTGTCAACAAGGGTTGTGCTGCAAGGTTTGCCTTTGCAGCTGCAATATTTGGCGAGACCTCTGAAGCACTTTTCTGGTTGCAGTTGCCTCGCGCTATTAACCACTTGGTAAATAAGTTAGTAAACAGGTCTCCACAGAAAACTTCATCAGTTGGATTGAAATCAGAGCTTGATGACACATCTTTGTTGATGAGAATTTCATCAAAGGGAAAATCAACATCAGGCACTGGGAGGGGGGACTCTTCAGTAAATAATGTCTCTTTCTTTTTTACATTTTTCGGATAGTTTGTTAAAATTGTGAGAGTTTCAGGTTTTTTTTTTTGGAACTATTTGTGTTGTTTTTTTATTTGCAATATATGTAAGTTTATTAATTTATTTATTGATTCATATTTTTAATCTGATTATCAGGATAAATGTCAGCTTCGATTAATGGCTTTTGAGCCAGAAGAATTATGGGAAACTGCTAATGAGCATATTCCTTGGCATGAGAAATTGGAAGGAGAAGAGGCAATTCAGAATCGTGTACACGAGTGAGTTTTCACCTCTTAATCACGGTTATATTTTAGTTACTCATTTGCTGTAAGGAAAAAGGAAAAATCAAGATATCCCGCCATTAAAAATGCCAAGATGTCTAATAATAGCCACATAATGAATTTGATCAAATTAGTGCTCACACTATACTCCACACATTTAATGATTGTGATTGGATGTCAAAAATGTCAGGATGTCCTGATTTTCCTTTTTCTCTTTGCTGTAATGTGAACAATGGTAAAAAAAAAAAAAAGAAAAAAAAAGAAGAAAAAAAAAAGACATTTGGCTATAATGTGAAGACAAGTTGTAACACCCCTCTTTTTTGATGAACTAAAGGTTTATCAAGTAGAGAAATGTCCTGCACAAAATATTAATTGCAAATGCCCTCCTTGAATAGGTAAATTTAAAATTGTGTAATTTCAAGGTTAAAAATACAGATGATGGTGCAGAAAAGTGACAGCATATCATTAAGGTAACTACTGGAGAGAAATTTTAGAGTGTACAGGATAGAAATATTTATAGAAACAAAAGGCTTGTTTACATATAATTTCCAGGCTTAAAGATTAGTACAAAGTAGACTGGCAGATACAGATTTGACTTACTGATATTTCAGACCTCCACCCACAAAAAAGACTTAGGAACAGCAGCCACTCTTCACTGCTACTATCTGAAATGGTGGGAATAACACCATGAGCTCACAGCCTAGTAAGCATAATTCTTAACCTTAAGTTGAGCTGATAATCTTTACTTAGCATTTTATGTAGAAAAGTTCCTTTAGTTCCTAGTTGTACTGGTCTTATTGAAAATTAAGGCATTGCAGCCACAAAATGATCATGCAAACACAACACATCAAATAGAAATAACACAAATATGGAGTCCACTTAATGTGCGTGCACTCACATTAGGTGCCATAGCTAATCATAGCACTTACCTACTGTGCAGAGGTCTACTAGTTCACTGTTCAATCCCCCAAGGCTAGGCTGGGGTCCAAACTCTCCATAGTTCTAAGACAATTACATCACAAAACCACATATAGCACATATTCATGCATAACTGATTCAATGTTTACTTAGTATGGTCCATAGAACTAATAGAAATAGGCTATAATGTAGTGCCCAGGCCAATTTCAGAGGACATAATCCAGAAAATGTGATACACATAACATATTAATCTCCAAAACTTGAACCCATTTAAGTACAGAAATTTCACAATTTCAGCAGATGGAATTTCTAGTTCTTCTTACTTCTGTATTTATTTCTTTCTATGTTATATAACTTACGCTGCAGTACCTTAATTTCTTGTGTATATTCTGTCTTAAGTTATTTACCTTTTTATTTTGTTTGACAACCTTGACTTAAAATTAAGAATCACACTTACGGCACATTTGTTCAAAATCCTGAACTTGGCAGAATTCTTCAAGATTCTCCAAGTCTGCCTGGCCTATTTGCACCTTCTGTCTTATTCACTTTCGGGCCAGCCTTCAGAAAATAGGAGAAATGGCTTAAGTTATTGTTAAAAACACATGTACTGCCGGCCAAATGGGTTTTAATTGCTTCCCACTTTTCAAAACCGTAGCTTAAGGCACCTGTTATCACATAAACAGGCTATTAGACACGTGGACCCCCACTAATCTGGCTCTTAAAACAGAGACCTGGACTGTAATATGACAAAATGACATGCAACCACAGTAAAAAAATTGCCACAGATTAGTCCCTAATTTTGTATGCTGTTAGGGACTCTAACTTTTAACTCAATGAAATTTAAGGACTTAATTTTTAACTAATTGCAATTAAGGACTGGAATATCACACTAGTTTCTTTTTTGAACTTATTTATTAGTTAAAAGCATGATAGCTGACTTTGAGGTCAACTCTATGATTAATGTCATCCTTACAATCTCAGTTTCTGCCATGAAGTCAGAAGTTAATATGTACAAGATAAATAACAACAGAAATTCAGGCTCCAGCAAAATGCATCATTTTGAACAGGTTAAGCTAATCTAATAGCAATTTTGTAAAATTTCATTGAATCCTTAATTGGAAGTTCCTCTTACCTAGTTAAAATGATTAAGGGACAACCTTTTTTATACGACTTTTTCATACAACCTTATATGTCATTTAATGGTTGGCTATTTTTACTGTGTTGGGTCTGTGGTATTGTAAATAAAAGTTGTACAAAAAGGTTGTTTGCCTATCATTACCTAGTACCCATTAAGATACACTGAGATGTAGTAATCAGTTGGTTGCTTGTTATGATAAATATACTCATTTTGATTGAGAAAAATGCTGCTACGCTTGCTAGAAGGGTCATATATTTTGTAAATTTGGTCCTAAGATTCTAAATGTGCATTACTATTCACTGGACTGGGTTGCCAGTTTTCTTACTGGCTATGGCAAGTAGAGTCTGCTATGTCAATTTTTATTTTATGAATATTAATATACTTTGCAAGGGATGCTGTTTAACTTTTTCTAAATATGTTTATTCCTAACATAAATATTGTGTTTGGTTTAATGGAATGACTATTCCATGGTTATTGCATGAAGGTAAAATAGGAGAGTATGGCGAAGTGGGAGTAAAATGGGAACAAGGTAGTCCTTTTCTTTCAATAAGTGGGAATAAGGGAATAATAGCCATTACTCCCACTTATTCTTCCCCAGTTTGTTTCAGTAATTTTCTTACATTATCCCCTCTTATTGAAGGAAATAAACAATCTTATCCCCACTTATTTCCATTTGGCTATATACCTCTATTTTACCTTATTTTCATGCAATAATCATGAAATTACCACTCCATTCAGCCAAACATGACCAAAGGGATTAATTCTCAAGCTTATAGCTCTGAGATTAATAATTATGTATCATTTGCTTGTTGACAGACTAGTTTCAATTGGGAACTTAGAAGCTGCTGTTAGCTTATTGCTTTCCACTAATCCAGAGAGCAGTTACTTCTATCCAAATGCTCTACGTGCTGTTGCTCTTTCTTCTGCTGTGTCAAGATCTCTTCTTGAACTTGCAGTTAAGGTGAGGGTTTTCAACTTCCATTTAAATGTTAAAACAAGTGATCATTTGATCTAAAGCTTGTTGGAACTTTGGAAACACTCTCTTGCTACTACTTTACCAATATGTGATTCATCTAGGTCGTTGCAGCCAACATGGTGAGGACCGACAGATCATTGTCTGCTACCCATCTTCTCTGTGCTGTCGGAAGGTATCAAGAGGCTTGTTCACAGGTTAGGTTCCTTTTTTACACCAGCTTTGGATATTTCTTGCCACTTCCTTGATTCTTTCATGTTCTCTTGCATTTTCATGCCTGATTTTTTTTTTCCTTGTTGATTAATATCTATTATTTTTTCTACAATTGTATGTATATAAAACTAATAATAATATTCAATAGATATTAAATCAGTGGTTAAACCAACAAATCATTGGTTGAACTGGTAAAAATTGCTTTTCTAGTTTCATGGCTGGTTCTGTTCTGACAACCATACGATGCTATATTGATCTCATTAATTCAACCCTTATTAAACTATAAACACTAGACAATACTGTTAATTAGTATTGAAGGTGGAATTTGGCTTTGCTCATATGTGGGGGTAGGCCTAAATGGTCCAGTGACCAAACAGAAAAAATTTCAGCTAACCAAAAAGAATATGGTTATCCATTTAATTACTGAACCTGTTTTTGAACTTTACTTCAGAAAGATGGTTTGGTTAACTTAATTTTTTGGTTTTTAGTTTGGTTTTAACCAAATTTTGTAATTTCATAAAAATTTTAAATTAAATTATAATTTGTCAAAATAAATTTCTGTTCGGTTCAGTTGATTCTGTTAATCAAAATTTGATACAAAAATTGGTTAAACTGATGGCACTTTTCAATTTATTCGTTTTAGGGTCATAATCGTAAGTGAATTGAATAGATTCAGTTTTTAAGCGAATTAACCGTTGTTTAACCATTTTAACCAAACCAAAAAATTTTGGTTTGGTTTGGTTTGTAAGACAGTTTAATTTGGTTATAACCAAATAACGCTTGGTCCTACTCATATGAAGATACCTTGAAGCCCTTTCTATCCTATGTTAAATTGGTTGCAAGATGTGCTTTGTTGGATGGAATTAGGAGAGTATGGGAAAGTGAGACTACGTAACCGTACCCAGCATGCTTTTACAAAGCTTCCTTCAAACCATTCATGGTTATTAGATCGGATTCATGGCATTTCATACATGAGCATAGAATAACTGCCAGATTATGCTTAATTATTGTTCTGACCAATTATTATCTAAAATCTTATGCAGCTACAGGATGCTGGATGCTGGACTGATGCTGCAACCTTAGCTGCCACACACTTAAAGGGATCTGATTATGCAAGGTTCCCTATTTCTTTCGTTTTTAGTTCTAGGTTTTCTATATTCTTAATTTTGATAATGTTCTTATCATCTCATCAATTGTCTTCCCACTCTCCATTCTACTTATAATAGTATCATTCTGAGGGATGGGCATGCTGATATTCATTATGTAATCTGTTCAATATAGCTTGCTAATCTTCAATATCTATTTAAATGATCTTTGATTTAGAGAGAAATTGATTGGACTCAAGTTGTTGCATCTGTATCTTGATAATAATTTTACTGAAACTTTTCTTGCAAGAAAATGACTGGAGAAGATTATTATCAACAGGGTCATTTAACCTTAGTTCACAATTTCTTTTTCCTTTGGTAGGGTGTTGCAAAGATGGGCTAACCATGTCCTTCACACCGAGCACAATCTCTGGAGGTATAGCTATTCTCCTCTAGGTTTCTCAAGTGGCAATGTCTGGCATCTGTTGCATTCTGAAGCTTAACAATAATGAAATGCAGGTCACTTACTCTCTATGTTGCGGCTGGGGCACTACAAGAGGCATTGACAGCTCTTCGTGAGGCACAACTACCAGACACAGCTGCCATGTTCATACTTGCTTGCCGTGAAATTCATGCAGAAATCATTAATAATTTAGCAAATTCAGATGACGAATCATGTTCATCAATCAAGGATACACTGGTTAGCTTGCCCGGTTTGGACCCAGAGAATCAAGATGTTATTGCCGTTGGTGAATATTTTGGACAGTACCAAAAAAAATTGGTGCACCTATGCATGGAATCACAGCCATTTGCTGACTGATATGGCTGGGACAGAGGAGAAGTTGCCTTTGCCTTCTACATGTTTCACACAGAAATTGTCATGTTGTAGCTAATGCATAAAATTTTGGATGCTGCAAAAATATACACAGAAATCTGGTTTAGGGTGCGATCTGAAGAAATTTATTTTGTTTGGACAGGGAGATAGAGGGCATTTTCGTTGAATCATGTCATTTTGCCAGTTGTCATTGTGGCAATTTTACGAAAGATAATTTACGAGGCTAATTTTCCATTTATTCCATTTTTATCTTAAGGTAGCGGAAAAAAATTTCTTTTTCCCTAAACATATGGATACACACGTATTTAATTAAGATCAAAAGAAAAGATTTAACCAATTTCGGAAATTCGAGTTCAATCTCTATTGAAAAGTCTCTCCTTTAGATCTGCAAAGCTTCAAACCCCAAACAGGATTCCTTTAGCGGTATCGACACGTGTTGTGTACGGAAGGCACACCTCTCAGAAGACCCTCTTTCTCAGAGTTCTCCTGATTTTCCTGGTTTCACGCAATTTTTTTAAAAAAATTTTTTCCTGTGCGGCAAAAATGAATGGGATCAATTTTTTCAGAACAATTTTTTAGAATAATGATAAAATGGATGAGTTTTGTAGGATCATAACTTAGGAGTAATGTACGGATCATTTAAAATGTTAAAATGTAAACTCTAGATTTTATTATTTAATAATGAGTTCTTTTTATTTCATTAAGACGTGATTATATATATTAATTTATTTAATGAGTTAATTTATATTATATTATTAGTCTATTAGAAAAATATATATATCACATTATCTGTTCTAAATTTTGGTTTTAAACTTCCATCCTCTTTAATACTATTTAAAAAAGAAAAAGATGGAACTAGGGGTGGGCAGAATTGATTACAACTGAAAATTTTTTCGAACCCAATCGAAACCATTATCGACGGGTTGGGTCTAACTGGTTTTTGGGCCTTTTCTTACTAGAATTTGAACCGAACGGATTTCAATTGGTTCAATTTTTGGTTTTTAGGTTTAGAAACCAAAAACTTTGTGACTAGGCCGAGCATAACCAAACAGGTCCGGCCCAAAAATCTTTTTCAATTTTTTATAGGTTTCTAGTTTCTTTTTTCTTTTTTCCTTTTTTTTTTTTTTTTGTTTTAGGGGTTCTAGAAATTTTCAAGCCTTCTTGGCACTTCCTACCAAATTATTTCTATACTTTGATCATTTTTATTTTTTAATGATTGAAAATAATAAATAATATTTAAGAAATTTAAAAAAATCATAAAATATTTAAGAATAATTTCTTGATTAAAACTAAATTGAATTGAATGGTCATCTTCAAAAAATTAATGGTTTAGTTAATAGTTTCTAAAAGTCCATAATTGAAAATTCAATTAATTGATAATTCAGTTTCAATTGCAATCAAAATCGAACCATGTCCACCGATAATTGAAACAAAATGAAATTGTTTTAATTTCAAAAGCAACCCATGTTTAAATTCTAGTTCATAGAATTCATATCTCAAAAAGTATAAATTAGAGGAAAAGGGTGTGTTTTAGATTGTGATTGGGGTTTTTTTTTTTTTTTAATAGCCATATATGCTTTTAAATATATGTATAATTAAAAACTTTTTTCGGATTACTTTTTCAAAAGTTGTAAAAATTTACGTAAATCCACAGTAAATTTTATATAAAACCAAAAGCTTCATTTTTTATTTTTTATTTTTTTGTGTTTTGCACCACAATTTAATACTATTATAAAATCATCCATTAAAACCTAATCTTGTTTAATTCAATTTCGTCACAATTTATAATATTTTATTTAAACTTAATTTCTCTTTTATTTAAAAATTTCAAAAAAAATTAAAAATTTATTCTCTTTAATTAAAAATTTATTCTCTTTATAAGTTATTATCCTATGAAACCCAAAAGAGCATCCATTATAAGAAATCTAAAAAATCTAAATTATTAAGAAATACTAAATGTTGTCTATTTTAGTAATTATATATCATATAATATTTTTAAAATTTTAGTTAATAATTAATAAAATTTATCATATATTATTTACAATATTTTTAAAAAATAAATAATTAAATACCAAAATAACTTGTAATTATAATTACAATTATAACACAATACAATTCAATATAATTATAATCACAACTACAATCATGGAACATCATAACAATATTATACGCACCTAAAATCCTTATATTTGCCGCTATTATCCATGTGTATTGTAGGTTGGGTCATGCAAGCCGAAAGGGCTAGACATAACCGGCTAACTTCGGTCCAATTTTTTTGGACCAATCCGTAAATTATCTTCTAACTCAACGAAGCCCATGTCCTGGAACCTACGTTTCTAATCAATCAAGATCAACTCTAACTCAAATTGTCATATCAGTCCACGAACTACATAATAACTTAAAGCTTAGGAAATCTATGACAATTAGAACACATTTCTCTCCAATGTGGTTTCAAAGGGATCCTCTTGGAAAGTCAAGAGCAGTGAAAAAGTGAGGTTTTTGGGAGATACTTGGCTTGGAAATGAGTTCTTAAACGTCTTCGTTTCTAAGATCGTTTTATTTGATTTTTGTTCAGGAATTTGACAGCAAGGCAGGGTCATGGAAAGCTGGTTCATGGTTGTGGTGTATCTAGTGGAGAAGAAGTCCAGGGGTGGGGAAATGAAAGAGCTTCAGAAACTTGAGGAGATGTTAAAAGTATCAAGGAAATCATTGCAGATTGAGCGAGAATGTTGCTATTGAGCGAGATTGTTGCTATTCAATACTACATCACTAATTGATCCTTCATTCAATACTATATCTCTGATTTGATCTATACATATTGTAATAATGACTAGGATATTTACCATGTATATAGCTGATTCAGTTTCCATTCTTCTTGGTTGTAATACATGTATATATATTTCCATGAAATCAAAGTAGAAAGTACAATTCCTCAAATATTACTTTTGATACTCTGTTAGTGGTATCAGAGCCTCTTTTTCTCTGAAAACAAGTTTGATCCTGAAACCATGGCCGACCAGAGCCCCTCAACCGACTCAAGCAAGACTGCCATCACCACTCCAGCAATTGTTGCCGCTCCGACTGTTGGCAACCCAAACACCAATTCAACCAATGTCATCACCTTCAACGTTGCTATTCAGTTTCCAGTGAAACTCACTACTAATAACTACTCAAGTTGGAGTAGGCAATTTATTTCACTACTGAAAGTCTATCGGTTGTACGAGTTCTTGCTGGGAACGAGGCCATGTCCACTTATAGATCCCACTCCAGACTCACCCTATGATGTTTGGGTGAGACAAGATCAATCCATTCAACATGCAATTTTGACTTCAATTACTGAATCTATTCACCCATATGTGGCCAGTACTGAAACCGCCCATGAAGCATGGATTGTGCTGGAAAGACTTTACGCCAATAACTCTCAAACTAGAATTGTGGCATTCAAGGAACGATTGTCAAATCTCAAATGTGACAGCAGAACAATCACCAACTATTTGCGTACGGTCAAAGAGCTTATTAATCGTATCAGTCGTGCTGAGAAAACACCCCTTTCCAATTCAACAATACAAGTGCATTTCTTGACTGTTCTCGGATCAGAGTACTACGAGTTCAAGGCCTCTATACGAGCGCGAGATGGACCGCCATTGTCCTTTGAAGATTTGCAAGACAGATTGTTGGCATATGAAGAGTCTCTACAGCGAGAATACTCTCGCCAAGAATTGCAAGCCCCATTGATGGCGCAGTTTGCAACTGCTACTCCTAAGTTTAATGGTGACTATCACAATGCTATGAACAGTGTGCAGCCGACTTCCTTCAATTCTTATGGACCTTCATCCAATCAACCCACTAGATCTGGCAGCCCAAATTGGCAATTTAATGGTCCAGTGAACTGCGGAAACAGGGGCGGTTGTGGTAGAGGTGGTCGACGAAATTCAGTCAACAGGTACAATAATCGTAATAATTTTGCCTGTCAATTGTGTAATGGTTTTGGCCATTTTGCTAGGAATTGCCCATAGCTCAGGAATCATGCACATGTGGCAAATTTTGCATCCACATCTCGCAAGGCAAGAAATGAATGGTGGATCGATTATGGTGCATCCGATCATGTTAGCCCAGACTTGTCTAACCTTGCATTACATTCGGAATATGGTGGACCAGATGAACTGCTTATTGGGGATGGATCAGGTTTGACTATCTCACATGTGGGACAATCCACAATCCACAATCCCAACCAAAACCAAACCTTTACTCTTGAAAAATATACTGTGTTCCGAGTGCTTCTAAAAATTTAATTTCAATTTCTAAACTATGCCAAAATAACAATGTCTTGGTAGAATTTCATCCTGATTTTTTTGTTGTGAAAGATCGCACCACGGGAGTGACGCTTCTTCGAGGGCACAATCATCATGGCGTGTACCGCCTACCCGCCCAAGGTCCACCTAAGACGAGTCCAATGGCAATGGTTGGGGAAAGAGCATCTATTATAGATTGGCATGCAAGATTGGGTCACCCCTCGTCTAAAACTCTCAATAAAATTTTTCACCATGTTAACTTACCTATTTTAGATCAATCTCAAGTTTCTTTATGTGAGTCTTGCTTTTGTGCAAAGAGTCATAAATTACCATTTGGCGAATCATTTATTTCTAGCAATAAACCTTTAGAAATAATATATTCTGATGTGTGGGGCCCTGCCTCATTACCTTCTATGGATGGCTTCCTTTATTACGTAATTTTGTTGATTTATTTAGTCGTTATGTTTGGCTTTTTCCTATTAAGAGGAAATCTGATGTTGCACCACTCTTTCAAAAATTTCATGTTCTTGTCGAAAATCAACTTGGAACAAAAATTAAATCTTTTCACTTTGATGGTGGCGATGAGTTTCTTGCATTAAAAGACTACTTTCAAACTCAAGGAATCTCTCACTTCATCACAGCCCCCTACACACCAAACTTAAATGGTATAAGTGAGCGTCAGAATCGTCTTATTGTTGAAACCGGTTTAGCCCTTTTGCAAATTGCTTCTCTTTAAAATTTTGGAGTCATGCTTTTCTCACTGCTGTTTATTTACATAATAGGATTCCAAGTTCTACTAGCTTATGTTCACCTTTTGAAAAATTATTTCACATTAAACCCAATTACTTCAAACTTTGAGTTTTTGGGTGCTCATGTTATCCATAGTTGCGCCCATACAACTCTCATAAATTACAACCAAGGTCTCGTAAGTGTATCTTTTTAGGTTACTCTATTGGTCATATGAGCTATAAATGCTTTGATCCCATTTCTGGAAAGGTCTTTTACTCCAGACATGTTGTCTTTGATGAGCATGATTTTTTCTACCAAAAATCCCACAACTCAGTCGCAGGTGGTGGCACTCAATCCTCTGTTAGCCCATCCAAATTAGCTACTGTTTCTCCACCAGACATTGCTAGCCCTCAAGCATGCTCTCATGGTGTAGCCCATCCACATGACCATCAGGTAAATTCTCCCACTAATCATCTCTCTTCCTTCTTTCCCCTATGGTCCAATGTCTCCCAAATTTTCCATCTCCATCTCATACCCGTGAGCCCTCCCACCTACCCACAGTCAAGGACCCAAGCCACACATCTTTGAATCCTTCAACCCCAGCCCATCCTGCCTCCAACGGACCATGCCTAGAACATCTATCCTCCACTCATGGCTCTAATCAGGCCCATTTGCCCTCCATTCACTCATCCCTGGTCCAACAAGTTTCCTCTAGTCCCTCTACTACCTCCTCCGATTCCCCTTCTTCACCTACAGTGTTTGTTCCTCACCCCACCGGACCTACATGAACTCACAATATGACCACCCGTTCTCAAAATAATATCTTTAAACCTCGAACTTTATTCCTTGCCACAAAGCACCCTCTCGACAGTTCGATTGAACCCACTTGTGTAAGTCAAGCCTTGAAAATCCTCAATGGCGTCAGGCCATGTCTGATGAGTTTAGTGTTTTGGTTAGACAGGGTACTTGGGAACTTGTTCCTCGCACTGATGTTCAAAATGTCATTGGCTGTAAGTGGGTGTTCCGTGTCAAACGGAATGAGGAAGGTGGTATTGACCGATACAAAGCACGTCTTGTGGCTAAACGATTTCACCAACGACCTGGGTCCGATTACTTTAATACCTTTAGCCCGGTGATCAAACCTACACCAATTCGTACAGTGCTTTTGTTGGCTGTGAATAAACATTGGCCTATTCGCCGTTGGATGTTAATAATACCTTTTTGCATGGGAAGTTAGAAGAGGAATTGTTTATGGAGTAACCACTAGGTTTTGTTGATAGCTCTCAGCCCCAGCATGTTTGCCGCCTTCGTAAGTCCATCTATGGTCTCAAACAGGCTCCTCGTACTTGGTACAAAAAGCTCAAAACATTTCTACTTAAGCATGGGTTTGTGAACTCACGGTCTGATTCTTCCTTGTTTATTTTTCATTATTAGTCAAAATGGGTTTATTTCTTAATTTATGTTGATGACATTATTGTTACGGGCAGTACTGAGAAGCTAATTGAATCAATTATTTCCTTAATGGGTGCCACCTTCTCTATCAAAGATTTGGGTTGCCTCAATTATTTTCTTGGTGTGAATGCTATCTTTACCAATGCTGGTCTCTTTCTGTTACAAGCTCAATACATCCGTAAGCTGTTGGCCAAGTTTGGCATGAGTGATGCTAAGCCTATGCAATCCCCATTGTCCACTGTCCCGTTGCAATTACATCAAGGGAATCAGCTCTCTGATGCTCAACCGTATTGTCAACTTGTTGGTTCTTTGCAATACCTTGTTGTTACTCGGCCGGATATCTCTTTTGCTGTTAACAAATTATCTCAGTTTCTTCATGCTCCGTCTGATGTTCATTGGCAAGCTGCGAAGCGGATTTTGCGATATCGTAAAGGTTCTTTATTTCATGGTCTTCTTTTCTGTCAGCAATCGATCTCTCCTTTGCATGCTTTTTCTTATTCAGATTGGGCTGGTAACAAGGACACTTATCATTCTACAACTGGATATGTGGTGTTCCTCTGTAGCAATCTCATTTCTTGGCGAGCTTGCAAGCAGAAAACTATTGCTCGTAGTTCCACCGAGGCATCGTTGCTGCTTCTTCTGAATTGGTTTGGATTAAGCATCTGCTTCATGAACTTGGCCATCCTATATCTAAATGTCCTGCCATTTACTGTGACAATGTTGGAGCTACCCATCTGAGTAGCAATCTAATAATGCATACCAAGATGAAGCATATAGCAATTGATCTCCATTTTGTTCGGGAACTCGTTGATCACAAGGTCCTTCGAGTGAGCCATATCTCCACTGTTGATCAATTAGCCCATGGCCTCACCAAACCACTTTCATCGCGTCATTTTGCTCAACTCCAAAACAAGATTGGAGTCACCAATGGGAGCTCCATCTTGAGGGGGCATATCAAGGAAATCCTGCAGATTGAGTGAGATTATTTCTATTCAATACTGCATCAATGATTGGTTCTTCATTCAATACTATATCTCTGATTTGATGTATACATATTGTAATAATGACTAGGATATTTACCTTGTATATAGCTGATTCAGTTTCCATTCTTCTTGGCTGTAATACATGTATATATATATCCATGAAATCAAAGTAGAAAGTACTATTCCTCAAATATTACTTTTGATACTCTTGTTAAAAAGAAGTTCAATATTACTTTTGATACTGTGTTAAAAAGAAGTTCAATATTAAACTCAAGTACTAAAACATAGAAGAATTTGGCATTATAACGGAAGGTCTGGATATATACTTTACTAAGAAAGCATTCTCGCCGATGGTGGAGCACAGTGTTAATTTGGAAAAATGAATATGCAAGGTAATTTGGAGTCGCTTCACACTTCTAAAGTTAGTAGTTTAGCTTGAAGAATCTTTCTTAACAAAGTTCGTACAAAACAAAATCGTTTTTTGGATTTATGGTACCGGATATTCATTACTGGTTTTGGTTTTGTTATGTGAATTATTTTCCTGCTCTTATATTTTTTTTTCTTTTTTTGGTTATTTATTCATCTAAACTACATAAGCAATTTTGAAAAGAAGTCTGGTTTGCTCTCTGTGCTTCCAGATATCATGAGCTATGAGGTTCTAGATAGTGTAATTCCAACTAGTATCCAATGATTTGAACCACACGTTAGGTGATGATCCATATGTTTTTTCCAGTATTGAGTTTGACTTCATCTAAAAGGGTAGTGAATCATTAATGCACTGTTAGATTTGGACTTATTTCTCTGTCCTTGTTCATTTGTTGCTATTGCAATTTTCACTATAAGGATTTGCATTCATATGTTTTGTTATCCTCATTAATTTTCTTTTTCTCCACTATTATGAATCCCTACTTGTGGAGGCCAAAAGCAAAAAAGGATAGTTTCATTTCTCAAGCAGTAGAGAAGGCTGTGACATCTGGGATACAGGAGATACAAAGCAAACAGGAAAAGTGCGCAGAGGAAAAAGATGCTGTTGCAGAGGTAAATTTAGTATGCTCATATCTTTCTTTCTTTTTCTTTTTTCTTTTTTTTTTTTTTTTTTTTTTTTTTTTTTTTTTTTTTTTTGGATAGAATCATTTTATGAAGGTTAACCTCTTAATTTGATCTCTCAACTATTGTATAGATTCTTGAGTTGGTCCTTAAATGAAAAAAGTTCCTACTTTAGTATCTAAAATTTTTAAATTTGACTTCAAATTGGTCTCTTTATTCAAAAATAGTTGATATATCACGTTACTAATATAACACATGACCATTGAGTAACTGCCTTTTGCCATCAAATAACAAACACATCAGCTGATTTTTAATGGAAGGAATAACTTGGAGCTAAATTTAAAAATTTTAGGGATCAAATTAAGAATTTTTTTAGTTTAAGAACCGATTTAAAAGCCCAGATAATGGTTGAGGAATCAAATTAAAAATTTAACTTTTTATGAAAGAATAGGCTAGGGATGTCAATGGGTCTCGCGGGATTAGGGAGTCCCTCCTCGTCCTCATCTCCGTCCTCACGAATGATGGAGACGAGGATCCCTGTGAAGATTTTTAATAGGGGTAGATTTTGCTCCCCATTTTCGTTCTCTACAAGAATCCCCATTCCCTGCCAATTAATATCAAAATATAAATTTTTTACATATAATTAATTAATATTCAATTATAATAAATAAAATTCTAAAAATTCAAATATAATTAACCAAAATACTTTAAATATAAAATCAAATATAAATTATCCAAATATAAATAAAAACCAATCCAACATAAATAGCTAAAAGGTTAATGATGGATTGGATTCAATTGGGTAAAATTGAGTTAAGTTCAATTTTTATTGAATTGGTTTTGAATTTGAAGGTTAAATTAAATTTAAAATAAAATTAATTTATATATTTTTTTAATTTCTCCTTAAAGATCTTTGTGGGACCTTATAAGGTAAAGAAAACTCCCTATAATTTTTTTTTTTTTTTTAAATACCTTCTGTCCCCACCTGCAAGGAGAAATATTCCTCTCCATGAGGATCGAGGCAAATTGCGGCCTCTAGGATTGACCACATATGCATTCTTTCTCAACACGATCATCATTTGCATGATTTCTTGACATAACTGTTTTTGCTTTTCTTGTACCCTGTAGATCAATAGAAATCCCATCAAAAGCAAGATATTCGGCGCAAAAAGATTAATATGTTTCTTTCCCTGGACGCATGGGCATGATTGTGGCGTTGGCCAAGTAGCATAGTTCTGTACCAAAGTTGCAGCAATTTAACATGTTTTACTATCTGGTTAAGAGAAACCCTGTATTTAATGTTGAATTGTAGATACTCTCTTTCTTCCCCCACTTTGTTTTCTTATAGAAAAGCAAACTGCAAAAATGCCAGCGCAACTGCATTTGCTTATGAGAAGATTTTTACCTCTAATGAGTGGGTTTTGTCACAGAAATATTAGCATTCAATTTCAGGAAGCTTGCCTAAGTTATAGAGACCAATGGCACTATAATCTCACGGAAGCTCCTGTCTTGGTTTAGGGAAATTTCTCAATTGAAGTTAAAGGATGAGAAGATACTTTCTTTTTTTGAAAATAGGTAATGAAGGATGAGAAGATACTTGAACTATAAGAGCAGGTAATAACATGCCTAAAACTTTCATGACATCAGCTGCTGATTGATATTACTTGTGTTTGCATTAACGTTTCAATATCAATCGCAGATAAGAGATCTCGCTGTATACATTAAAGCCCAGAAGTCACTTGGCGACATGGCAGATTCCGATGGCAGAAGGGGAGGAACAATCTTACCTGATCCTACCACACAACATTCCTCAGCTAACAACAGGAGGCAAAAGAAGTTGGTCAAAGACGCAGTTAGATTAGATGACAAATGAACCATGCTGGCACGAAATGTAGATTGAATATTGGCGATGTTAACATGCATGCAAAGCACTCACATTATGAAATCTTTATATTTGGTGTCAAGATAGCATAAATCGTAGAGTGCACCTGATTTTAATATAAATTTTACACAGTAAAAATATAAAAGTTCAAACATAATATGTGATGAAGGCATGACCAGGCGGTACTGCAAAGGTTTATTGATAGGGATCTCTCAGCCAGCAACTGCATAAATAAGCTAGTGCTGAGATCAGGTATCACCATCTGCCATACTTCTCTGGATGCAAATAAGATCAAATAAGTGCAACAATAAGGAAAGAGAATGTTTCAAATTCAAACTGCAATTCTCCAAATAAAATCTTGAAATTTTGGTTTCGCTAGTGAGGTACTTAGGTCCAGAGGGGACAAAGAGTAAAGCTAACACTAGACCCCCAGAAATTCTTCATTATGCAATAAAAACATGCAAACAGTAATTGAGCTATTCAAAGTTATTCTCTGATCGTGTATAAACCACCAAACCACCCGCCTACATTTTTCATTGTTCATCAGAATCGTGTACAAAAAGCTTTTATCCAGCTTTTACTAATAATAATATACAGTTCAATCTAGAAGCTCCTGATAATTTATCATTTAACAAGTATTTAAAATTCAATCGGCTTCAGAATTCAATTCTTCATCTCCATCCATTTTCGTAGCTAATTCATGTCAGATAGACGCACTGATGGTGAAAAAGAGCTTCCAAACCTTTTAAGTCAGAATCCTAATGGAAGAATCGCTTCCGAGATCTAGCAGATCCAAGCTCTTCATACTCAGCCTTGGTAACACATATTGATTCAAAATCAGGGCTCGATGCCAAGAGTGAACCTCCTCGCCACACACCCAGTATGGGACTGAAAAAGAAAACAAAGATTTAATCTAACAGGAAGAAGAAGCTTTTCAAATACAAATAAATGCTCTATAGGAACGTCAGAGTTTACTCTTCTTGAGTTGTTATCTTCACATGATAGTCATCTGGAACAAGAGGCCTGAGATCTTTTTCTCTGAAATGTAATATAATAAATGAAATTAGATCTGAATGATGCCTCATTTATGAAATGCTGACATAAGACAATCTAGTGCGGAGGGACTTTAGCTTACAGTCTCTTAGCAAAGCGAGGAAATAATGTGCTTCCACCAGTTAATATGATACTGCCCAACCACAGTAAGTATTAGAAAGAAATTGAATTTTGAAAAGTTATATGCTAATAAAACTTAGGACATAATTTGGTTCATTGAATAGATAATGCATAGTAATCACATAGAAATAAAGTAAAAGAGAGGGAATGTATAACAAGGCACAAAACATTTTGGCCTTGTTCCTACCTATTAAAGGAAACTAGGTAATAACATTCAATAATATGATATATCATGATCACAGTTCATTTCATTCTCATCAAAGGACTAAAAATAACCTTAATAGCTTAAGGAATCACCTTTCATAGAGTACAGGGTGAAGATAAGGGTGGCAGGAATTGACAGCTCTGACAATGCACTCTGCCAGTCCAGCCTCATTCATTCCTACAAAAGGGGTTTGAGACCAAAGTTAGCACTCATCTTCATTGGAGCTTGGTTAGAATTCTCAGCTAACATCAAACCGAAGTTTTCTCTTATTCACTGCATGGTGCATATACAATGCAGTAACTTTATTTCTTTCTTCAAATGCTTTATCTTATCCTATTCTTTGATAAATTGCAGGACTAATTCTAGCAGCAAATTTCAAATTTCTGTGCAAAAGCAACAAATCAGCTAGTTGAATATGCAAACTTGGCTTTCATATGAAACTGAAGAAAACCAAAAGACATACTCAAAATTTTTTCTTATCATTAAAGACATAAGTTCACAATTAGAAAACAATAGCATGATACAGACCCAAATCTGCAGGCTGGAAGATCATCTCTGGAACAAGGAATCGTTCATTTGTCAAGTCGAACTCCTGTAATCAACAGCAGAATTAGTAAATTAGGCAAAGATTTACTTGCTTTGAATAAAATTGAATCCTACAGTTTTAGTCAAATCAATTCTCCTCCTATCCTCAGACTTCTCTGCAGCTTCCGTCTGATCCATCTCTTTCCTTGCTTCCACAGGCCGACGAGAAACTCCATCTGTCAAAGCAAGGTACCTCTGTGCTGCTTCCGAATCTTTAACAAAACCCTTTGTGTCAGACACACCGTCCGGCAGGACATAAGTACATCGGAGCAAATTCTGCCTTCCAGGCTTCCTATAAAGGTAATGGGCATCAGATAGCAGAAAATTTCTTCACAAACATCAAATAAAACATATATATTCACAATCAGACCTAGCCATCTGCAGATCCCTTTCAGGGTCGAGAGAGACAAAGCAGAGTTTCTCCTTGACATCATCCATTATGAAAGTCTCGTCCATGACATTCACTGCCCGATAGGAAACCAGCTCCTTCAAGTAATTCGTCAACGCCTTGCCCCCTAAGTCGATCCTCTTCACAGCGTAGTTCAGGGTAAAGTTCTGAAAAACCGGCGCCGCGTGGGTGAACGAGAACCCGCAGTCCACCACCAAGCTGCATTGTGCCTTCGAGACCAACCCATCAGGCCTGTGACTGGCCTCGTAGAGATGCACGAGAGAGGGCGAATCGGCTACAAACAGAGAATTGAACCCGAAATCTTCGAAGACGAGCTCATCGGTGGAGCGCTGGATCGAGGGGAGAGAGAAGAGGGGTTCAGTGAGCAGGAGGGAGGAGGTCGAAGGATTCACGTGGAGGAGGGAGGAGAAGAGGTGAGACCATATGTCTCGCTCTAGGTCTGGGTTGATGAGGTAGCCGCGGTCGATGGGCCGGCGTACGGCGGCGGAGGTAAGGTCTTCTGAAGTTATAGAGGAAAGGGGTGAAGGGTGGAGGAACTTCTTCGAGGATAGAGGACGGTAGAGGCAGTTTGGGACTACGACGGTTGGGTCGCGCTCGCCACCGTGTCCGGCTTTTATAAGGCCGCCACCGTTGTCGAGTACAACGACATTCGACATGGGGTTGGGCCGTTGGGGGTTTAGGAGACTCTGGGTCTGGGAGTTACCACAAAGCAAGAGGTATCATTTTTATTTTTTCACTACTGAATTACTAATTACGGTAGGATGCTGTCATTACGCCTTATTTTTTAGGTTAAACCCCTATTTTGGTCCCTGAATTATTGTACGGACCCCCGATTTGGTCCCTGAACTAAAGAAATCCCTAATTTGGTCCTTAAACTATTGTACGGACCCTGAGTTGGTCCGTAAACTATTGTACGGACTCCCAAATTAGTCCCTAAACTATTGTACGAATGCCTAATTTGGTCCCTACTGTTTACCAATTTAACCCCAACTTGGTCCTTATGTTAAATAATAGCTCAATGACCAAATTGGAGTGAAATTGTAAACAGTAAGAACCAAATTGAGGGTCCGTACAATAGTTTAAGGACTAAATCAGGGATTTCTTTAGTTTAGGGACCAAATCGGAGGTCCATACAATAGTTCAGGGACCAAAATAGAGATTTAACCTATTTTTTATTTTAAGTAAATAAACATTAAAAAAGCACTTGAACCGTATGGTCCAATAGTTAGTGCTATTGAAAAAATGTATATCTCTCATCGAGTTTTTGAACCCGTCTATGACAAAAAATTCAAAAAAAAAAATAAACATTGAAAAAGTATTTTTCAGTTTGTCTGTATTTAAAAATTTATTTTTAAATTAATATTTTAAAAAATTAATTTTAAAAGTTTGATTCACATATATCACATAGGTTAACTTTTAGATTATTGTAATAAGTTTAATTATTTTGTTAATTATATAAAATTTAATATTATTAAATATCAATAAATAGACATTTTTAGCAAAAAGTTATAAGTATTATATAAAAATTGATATATGTGATCTAAACGAATAAATTTTTAATCTAATAATTGATTTTTAAAATATTAATTAAAAATAAATTTTTACATAAATACTTTTAAAAGAACTTTAAAATTTAATTTATACCATACTAAACAGATAAACACCTACCATCCTTACTTTTTAACTTCATTTTAAAATTAATAATAAGTTCTTAAATTAACTAATTTGGAATTTATAGGTTGAGATATCACAAATTTAGAGTTGTTGGCTCAAACTTTCTATCAGGTAAGCTTTTTTGTAAAAAAAAAAAAAAGTGTAATGTTTTTAAGTAGTTAAATTTGTAATTTGCACACTTGCAATACCTTGTACTCTATTTAAAAAAAAAAAAAAAAAAACAACAACAACTTCATTTAACGGCAAGTTGCAAACATGGGGCTTACACGTCTTAGCTGGGTTAAAACTTGCACTTTTAACCATAAAATCAACCTTTAATTACCATTTTCCTAGCTTTGCGTGTTCTCAGTGGTTTGGTTAAAAATTTATAAATTGAAATTCACAATTTTAAACTTTCAATTTAAACTTTTAATTATGTAAGTTTTTCTTAACTAGTATACTGCTTTTAAGTTGTTGAATCCATATTATGTGGACTTGTAATATCTATTTAAAGATTTAAAGATCTAAGGGCTTCTTAATAGTCGGCACAAGTATTTACCATACTTTTCTATTAGTAATTTATATAAAAATGTTAAAAATAAATTTTATTTTTAACATTAATATCATGCGAAATATTTTAATTAGGTAGTTGATAAAACTAAAATTAATTTTTATTTTTTAAACAAATAAATAATAAAAATGTAAAATAAATACTTATTTAACTTGTGTCATAAGAGTGGGTGGTGTTATTTCCACATCTTCACAGGTTAACACCACAGCTTTTTTAATTAATTGACCATTAACCCACGCGGAGAAGGTGGTGACTGCTGCAAGTTGCATTCAAATGAGGGGTATAATAGTCAAATAATTAAAAAAAGCTGTGGTATTAACAGTAATGGCTGTGGCAATAACACTACCCCATAAGAGTATAAATTAAAAAAAAATTATTATTATTATTTTTTATTTTGAGTGGCAAATTTTAATAAAAATAAATTAAAATTAAAAAAAATAAATTCTAGTTATTAATTTTGAAATCTCATACTTAAATAGTTGTCGATTTTAACTTTCAATTTTAACTTTTGATTTTTATTTTTCATGGTTCAATTTTTAACAGCTAAAAACAAAAATAACCCGGGACAATGTACGACATGTTCTCTAACAATATAAATTTAGTCTTACTTTGGAAAAAAAAAAAGGAGGGACATTTAAGTCTTTTTACTTTCAAAAAATGAGACATGTTTAGACTGTCCGAAGTCCTAACGTCATAATAATTCCACCATAAAAAGCATAAAAATATTTGAACTTGGATCCTCTTATCCCATCCAAAATGGAGGTCCACCCAACCATAAGCCCTTTTTAGACCAACAACCTCTTTTTATTTTTTTATTTTTTTATTTTTTTTATTTTTACTGGGGTTGAAGCAAAAAATTTTATTTTTTTATCATTTTATTAGATTTTTTAAGAAATCTAGATAAATCAGATGAGAAAATGTACATGATTGATAAAAAAAATAAAAAATCGAAGTTTTGAATTTAAAAAACTAATAATCATTCTCTTTTTATAGTAATAACAATATATAGCAGCAGACAAGAAGCTTAAACAATGAATTCAGACATTAATTTCTAAGCTTGAATAATGGGGAAGAAAATGATCTAAACTTAAATTAGAGTACTGCACAATTAATAGGAAAAAAAAAAAGAAAAAGAAGAAGATGAAGAAAATGAATTAACTTGGTTAGTGTTTCTTCAAAAATCCTCTAGTGGCTTCGCACGTATGAAATCTGGATGCGAGCGTGCCACTTACTTTGCTGAAAGTAAGAAAGGAGGACTTTCCCAATGACCCTCTCCTTCTTCACGGTCAACCTCTTTGTAGATGGCGGAAAGAACGTTGGATTAAAGTGAAATTTGCACCTTCAAACGATTTGCAAGAGGGAGGGATACCTTCATGTAGAATGGGTTACAAAAATATGCCTTGGATAACTCCAAGGACTTAAAACACTACTGTGACTTAAAATTAACAAATCCTAATTATTCTAAATTACCTGCAATTTAAACTATGTTTGCAAGAAATAAATGTACCCAAATTAAATTAGACATGCTTATGGTAAAATTAAAATGCTATCTATTGACAGATTTGGAAGTTAAATTGCTACAGAATTGTAAATTTAACCATAATTAGCACGAAAATTAAACATGAACGGTGAATAAATTGAAGAAATTGAAGTTGGAAAGAAGCATGAAAGCCACACAAGTAATCATTGAAGCAATGCTACTTAAAATAAACACTAAATTAATTACAAATAAAAAATGAACAATACCTGGAAGGAACTTGAAATGTTAAAATTCATTACATGAAGAGAAACTGATGTAGTAAGTACATAAATTAAATTGTCTACTAAAATGATGAAGAACAACCTAATTCTAATGGAATCTGTGCTGAAATTCAAAATCTGGAAGCAAATTGCAGAGAAAATCCAAGTATGAAAATTTGCAAATGTTTGTGTAGGGCTGGCCGTCCCTTCTTCCTTCCAAAATTTCCTTTTTGTTCTTCTTGTGCCGACAATAACTTCCACTTTCTGCAGTTACTCAATCATGAGTGGTTTTTTGAAGTAGTGGGACACCTCACATTTTGACCTAGTCCAATCCTCTTTCAGATTTTGCTACATGTACTCTTATCAGATAAAACCCCCTTTTTAACTGTGATCTTCTCCTATTTTCCAGCTCCTATTATCCCTTTTGGTATCAAGAAGATAATTACTCCATAAAAAATTATCTTTACCTCTCATATTTTGCCAACACAACTGCTAATCTGTCCTGGGGCTCAAAATCCGAATCTGACATGGCTCAAACTCATCCAACCAATAAAAAATATTTTACACATAGCATTAATTTAAAATTTTGCAATTCATGATGTAAACAGTTAGTAAGAATGTTGACTCATGACTTATGAAGAGTGGGTTAAAATTGATTTTCATTGATTTATGATAAATTTTAACTCGATTTAACCCATCCGTTGATCCGTGACATATTTTAACTCACTCCAGCCTACCCATTTGACAGCCTTAACCCGAGGTCCATCTTGACTATAAGGTGAGTGATGCCAAGCTCAAGACACAAACATAGCTCCTCTCTAATTGCCCAAAGTTTAGGGGGTAAAACTTGAATTAACGTCAATGTTTACTACCAAACTACGCAATTGAGCAGCGTTAAAGTCTTTGATAACACCCCCTACCTAGCATAATTATAGTTTATAATCTATAGCTGAATTAAGATCATTTACAAATGCATAAGAATTAGGAGAAGAATTTTATATCATTTTACACATAAATCCATAATTTTCACTGCAAACTAAACTAACAACTTTGGTTAAGATACCGAATGTTAACGTTGTTTACGTCAAAATAGTTGAGTCATTTTTATTTTCTTGTTTTCAAAATACCAAAGCCTTAATTTGCCATAACAAACTTTGGATTCAGGAACTTCTCATGTCGATTCACTATCGTGTTCTTTAATCTGTCACTGAGTAGAGAAAACTCCAATGGCTCCATGCTACCCTCACAGCAACCACTGACAAGGTTAGTAAGTATTCGACTCTCCTTTTTTTTTTTTTTTTTTTTGGAGAAGGTAAAATAATTTTGAATTGCATATTTACATCTATACCTTGGTTGTGTAGTTGTAAAACAAATATTTCCACCAGTATATATTATGTATTTATTTAAGAATGAGTTTGTGTTTGTTTTATATAAATTGCTTCCAATAAAATGGTATAAACTGTAATTAATTTGACCCTGAAACCAAAGCAAAGAAATTTTTTCAAGCACATGGTAGACATAAATATACAAAATAAATACGGACCTATTCTTCCCTCAATTAATTAGTCCTAAAATATATTGGTGGAAGTAATATTAGACACAACTCAAGTAGAGATGGAAAGGAAAGGAATTGAAATTTTACATTTCATCTTGCAACTAAATGTGGATTAACATTATTTTACATTTTCTTAGAAAAGGATAGCTATATCACTTACTAATGATGGT